ACACAACACTCCCTCATCCGTGAGCCACCTTACACTTATCTGAATTTATGAGTCCCTGTTTGGAGATTGTAAAGCGCTTCTTTATTTTAAAGCAGAGAATACAAATAAAGAGAGAACTGCTTTAACCTGCTTTTCCTGTCTTCACAATTGACTCTCCAGTACTGATTGGTGCTATTAACCCATTTCCCTAGGCTAATTGCTAAACCAGAAGCAACCCAAACAGCTTCCTCAAAATAACAGCTTCTTAGAAAGAGCTTGTGCTAGAGAAGGCTATACCCATAAAAGGCAGAAACAAGTTAGGATAAAATTATCTTCCACTAGCTATCTTCAACTCTCACCTTTATTACACAGAAAATTCTTTAGGTGGCCAGTGGACATCAAATTACAGGGGATAATAAAGAAAAAAACTTCAAACCAACTGTCTGGATTAACAAATAAATGAAGCAGAAATAAGAATAAGTACCTGACTAGCAGATAGCTCCTGTCTGCATCATAAACAACGTCTGACAGCAGCTCTCCTTGTCAGTGCAACATTCAAAAACACCCTGTCAATGCAGCTTCTCTCCCACAGAATAACATAAACAAAGTCAACTAGCAATGTTTCCATGAATTAACAACAGTTTGGATTTTTCCCCACTGAAGACCACCCTTTTATCTAAATCTCTATGACCTCTTTTCCTGTCTCAAATCAGTCAAAATTTTGTACATGCATACAGACTGAGTTGGTTATGTGTACAGAGATTCCATGGAAAACCATTCTAAGACAGAATGGAGATTAATTTGTGAATATAATTTATTATAACAATGTATTTTTATATTGTAATCCTTTATACTGTTCAGTTCTAATGCATAATAAATGTACACCCTAATTATTCTATGAGGAATCATTTCTCTTTATGTCATAGTTGGTCAACATGGTTATTTACTAACAAAAGAAATACTGAAAGACTTGTATGGGACCAATGCATAAACAGTAAATTTTTACAATTTCAATTAATTTTGAAATGAAGAAAGCCCTTATAATAAGCAGGAGCATAAATGTTTGGCATACCTGCCCGTATCATTCAGTTATGTTAATACAACTCACAAACTGATGAACTCCTAAAGTAAAGAGAGAAGGTGGTTCCATTTTCTAAATGAATACTGGTTTTCTGAGTTTGTGCCTCAATCATTTGCAAAACTCCCATATTTTTTTGCAAATATAAAAGATATATTTTTAATCTATCTTAATTTAACACTGTACTACACTATCAATGGTCTTCTTACAGGAAAAAAAAATATATATATATATATCTGGTACCTATTTTGATTCCTAAAACTGCTACTCCCTGTAAAATGTAATAATATGCATCTCTACAACAGCTTCAATGCTGGTTAGCTGTGCTTTCTCTTTTTCCTTTTCTTTTGTATTCCAGTTAGTAAAATAATCATGTTTCATTTATTTATTTAGACTAATAAGCGAAGTGACAAGACCCAGCACACTGATAAAGACTGAGACAGTTATGTTCTCGTTTTTAGTTGTCAAAATATATAACAAACATTGATAGTAAATACAGAAATAAACTTGAAAGCTTTTAGGTGTGGGATAGACAAAAATTTGCAGTATGTTTTCTAGGAAATTAAATATATTTTTTATGCATTGCTACTTAATCACTGTACTCCATCAGTCCAAGTCAAAGGATGATTCTCACTCCTTGCTCTCCCGGCTGCAGTGCAGCAGCAGGGTTTTCTTTCCTTTTTCTTTAAATATGGTCTCACACAGGCACAAACAACATTGGCTTGGCTCTGGACAGTGTCAGCCCCCTTTGGAGCCAGCTGAAACTGACCGCTATCTTACATGGGGCAGCTACTGGGCTCTGCTCACAGAAGCCACCCCTGCAGCTCTCCCCACTACCAAAACCTTGCCATGTAAACTGGCTGCATCTCCAAAACCCAAGGTGAGATGGCTGAAAACAGCAATCAGATTTTACTGCCACCCAAGCCTTCTCTTCTCTAAGAAAAACAAAAAATCACAGAATCATTAAGGTTGGAAAAGACCTCCAAGATCATCTCGTTCAATTGTCCCCCAACCAGCAGTATTACCCACAAGTCCCAATTAACCAAGTCCCAAAGCTTAGCTTAAACACCCCAAGCGACAGTGACTCCACTAAGTCCCCAAATACAGTTCCCTCAATATCTCCTCCTCTGTAACGTGCTGCAGCCCCCAAACTATCACTATGGCACTCCACTGGACTTTGTTACTAATAACTGACCACCAATTACATGTTGAATTCCTGACTGCTACTGTTTGAACTCACCTATCCACTGTGTCTATGGGCGACTGTCACAGGCTGTGCTAAAAGTCAGGGTAAACAACACCTACTGCTCTCTCCTCATCCATGGAATCAGTCATCTCATGACAGAAACACAGAAGGCTACCAGGCTGGTCAGGCATGATTTGCCTATGTTGAATCTATGCTGGTTGCTCTGAAATACTCTTATTTTTCATATTTCTGGAAATGTCTTTCAGGAGGATTTTCTCAGTAATCCTTCCAGGGCCTGAGGTGAGACTGACCAGTCTGTAGTTCCCTCCAGTCATCACAAGTAGAGGGACACAGATTTTATTTTCTTAGGTTACCTTTTATATTACTGCAATAAGCACACACCATGCTGACATCCTCCAAAAACATTTCTACAAAGAAAAATTTCTGCCTGTCTAGAGTACCAAAAAGTGTATCATAGACCCTGTGTTGGTGCTATTATGATGTTACTCAGCATTTGTGTTCTGTTTTGTTTGAACTATGTTATGGCTGATCTTAGAGCTGAAATATTAAGAAAAGTTTTAGTAGGCTTCAGTAAGAATTGCTATTTCAGCAGTATTCCTGAAGAAAAACAAAACGATTCTGAAATAACAGAGGAGGGCCAAGAAGCTTCTCCAGAGAAATGTGTGAAAATAGAGAAAAATAAGTGAATCAGTTTATCCATGATTAAATTTGCATTTTGCAACTGGGATTATTTAGGTAGATAAAAAGGGAAAGAAGGGGCTTGTGGTATGATCCACACTACATCACTGGAAATTAAACTAAACAAAAAGATGTTCAACTGGAGTTTTGACCACACCCAACATAATAATGCAATTATTATGTAAAGTTTTCCAAGATACATACACTTCACTGTGCCTATGTCTTTGAGCTAGAAAAATCTGACTCAGGTGCTAGCTTTTAGGAAACTTCATAGTGAAGGTGATTTTTATTTTTTTTTGGTTTGTGAAAGTATAAAGTATGCAAAAAAGGGATCAAAACACCATGGTTAATCTGCAACATAGTTTTTACATCATTCTTATGGGAGTACACAAGGGTGGGAACACCTTTTCTTCTCAAATGTAAAGGAAGCCAGGAATCACAGATCCTTCAGTGACGTACCATGAAGCATCATTTTCTATGTTTTGTAGCTACCAGTAATATATATCTTAAAAAAAAAAAAAAAAAAAGCATAACCACAACGAAGAATAGCTAATTTTCTCTGGTTATACTTTTTAATACATTTACTAGTTAATTCCTTTGCTTGAATTTTCATATTTGTGAAATCCTGGTAATGTAGGTAATTGTGCATCAGGATGTGGGACCGTCAGAGCAAATAAATGAGTTTATCTCTCACTGTGATGTGAAGTCAGAGGTATTGAAGAGTTCTGCCAGATTATCTGCAAAAGGAAGCATGCATCACATTACTAGCAGCTTAATATCTGTAGCCAGTGGTGCTGGTGGTAACACTACAACAGGCATTGTTTTCACTTCTGATTTAAGAGACACAAAATGTTATCAAATGTACTACAAGCCCATGGATTTGAAGCAAAACCAATAAAACTGAAGCCAGATAGACTCCACGTGCTTTTTGAAAAAAAAAAAAAAGAGAAAAAAAAAAAGAGGTAAATTAGGTGCTCCAAACTACCCTCTGAAAAAGACTGCCTCCCGCGGGGTTATATTCAGGTCTGTCATTATCCCAGCGTGAAGGAGGGGAAGTGCAGAGGTATAAGAACTCCTGTTGGCGCACCCTGCTTCAGTTTGGCGGTGTGTTTCGAGGCGCTATGTGCCACACCACCTGACAGCTACGTGCTGCCCCCTCACATCTCCACAAACCCCCCTGGGGACCTGGTGGTGGATGCCGTGCTCCCAGACCCAGCGTGCCAAGCAGATGCTGTCTGCAGCTCGGATTTCTCCCACCTTCGCTGCGCTGCAACCCTCCGCTGCTGTCAGGAGGGGATTTGACCGGAGGTAATTACACAAAACTCTTCTCTCCTGCGGTACAGCTCCAGCTCCTGAATTTTGAACCCTCCTCTCTGCAGTTACCGTGGCTTCTCCATTGTTCCCTAAAGCGACGTGGGCATGCATTTAGCTCCTGGCCGTGCTTAGGATCAAGCTGAGACTGTCATCGGTGCTGCCTGCCCGCAGCCAGACCTGCTCCCGCAGCCGGACCCAGGGGTCCCCCCCAGCCAGCTGGGAAAGGTCAGTGTGCTTGCTCTTCCTCACCTTGCAAAGTGTTCAGCCCCACTGGGAGGGGGTGGGTTGACTTATTTTTGAGCCCCGGCTAGTCTGTGGGTCAGCCCCCTCCTCCCTGCACCAAGTGACCCTCCCCAGTCCCTGCTACCCCAGCTTGGGGGGGGGGGGCGGGGGGGTCTGCTTCCCTCTCTTATCCCCAACCATCCTAAAGGCACTGGACCCTCCCTCAGGCTCAAGGCTTGGTGAGCTGCCACGAGCTTGGTAAGGGACATGAGGGGGCTGGGGAGTCCCCACGTGGAGTTAGTTCAGTGGTCACCTTAGGGGAGTGTGGGGCTCTGAGCTACTCCCTCTCCCCCTGCTCCCATCTCCACTTCTGTCCCCCCCAATGGATGCCACCAGCACTGGTGGTGGGCAAGAGCAGCTGGTGGGGACCATCCCTGCTGTGAGGGGACCATGGGAGCCTCAGCTGAGCCCGTGGTGATATCTTGCTGCTCCCAGCAGGTCCCCGCTGGCCGCAGGCACATGGCAGCTGAAGGGAGGACACTGCTGGTTGGATGCTCCGGAGGAGACAAGCTTGAGAATAACCAGGATCCATGCCTTTCCCCCCTCTTCCAAGTCCTCTTTGCCACCAGTGAGCCTGGCATCTCTGCTGCGGCTATGGAAAACTCCTCACTTCCAGAGCTCAATTCCTCCTGTGCTCCTGGGCCCACAGACTGCACAGGGAGAGGGGATGAGGAGCTGAATATGCCCCCTCCCCTGCTGAGCCCCAGCTTCTACATCACGGTGCCTGTCATCTACTCCATCATCTGTGCTGTGGGGCTGACAGGTAACACTGCTGTCATCTATGTAATCCTCAAAGCCCCTAAGATGAAGACAGTCACCAACATCTTCATCCTCAACTTAGCCATTGCTGATGAGCTCTTTACCTTGGTGCTGCCCATCAACATTGCTGACTATTTGCTCCTGCAGTGGCCCTTTGGAGAGTTCATGTGCAAGCTCATCATCTCGATAGACCAGTACAACATCTTCTCCAGCATCTACTTCCTCACCATCATGAGCATTGACCGCTACCTTGTTGTGGTGGCCACTACCAAGTCCAGGAAGATGTCTTACCGCACTTACCGAGCAGCCAAGATTGTGAGCCTCTGCGTCTGGTCCTTCGTCACAGTTATCATCCTGCCCTTCACTGTCTTTGCTAAGATACACAAGGAGCAGGGGCGCTCCCAGTGTGTCTTTGTGTTCCCCCACCCTGAGAGCATGTGGTGGAAAGGCAGTCGGATCTACACCCTTATCTTAGGCTTTGCTATCCCGGTATCCACCATCTGCATCCTCTACACCATCATGTTGTGCAGATTGAGACGAGTGCATCTCCACAGCAATGCCAAAGCCCTGGACAAAGCCAAAAAGAAAGTGACGCTGATGGTGGCTGTCATCCTGGCTGTGTGCCTGTTCTGCTGGACACCCTATCACCTTAGCACAGTGGTGGCCCTCACCACAGACATCCCACAAACTCCTCTGATCATTGGGATTTCCTACTTCATCACTAGCTTGAGTTACGCCAACAGCTGCTTTAACCCTTTCCTGTATGCCTTTCTAGATGACAGTTTCCGGAGGAGCTTTCGCAAACTGATGGACTGCAGAACCGCCTCATAGAGCCAACACCATTCCCTCTCACGTCCTTGCACTGTCATCTGCTTCTCCTGGGTGACTCAGGAGCTCAGAGGCTGCTTATGCTCCGTCCACCATGTGATGGTCCACAGTGCTTCAGGTTGTCTCACTACTGAAAACACAAACTGGGGACAGATGGGTCATTCTTAACTCTCCTGTGCCCATTGCCTCAGCATTGCTCTCCATCTCTTTCACCAATGCTTTTTTGTCCTTCTCTCTAGTGTGCTTTATGTCCTAGGGCTGTAGCTCACTGAGCTGCAGCAGATCCCTTTTCCATTTAACAGGGTACTGCTTGGTGAGCTCATACCACATGATTGTCTCTGTTAATGGAGATTTGTAAAGCCAAATAAAGGTGTGTTGTTGGGTATCTTGCTTAATGATTCCTCAGCCTCCTTCATATCCATAGAAACTGCTTGCCAAAAGTCTCACAAACTTAACAATATTGAAAAAGACACAGATCGAAAGGATAGGAAATATACCAAAGCACCAGGTAAGGAGCAAACCAAGGCATTGAGCTCATTTTGTGTCACAGACTATTCAAAAGTAGCCAAAATCTCTGAGAACAGGCAAGAAGGACTCAGCTTGGCTTGAAGGAAGGGCAGTACCTCGCTGGTAAATAAAATACCAGGGGGTTTAGAACAATTCAGTGTGGAAAGCTGAAGTGTGTAGTTTGTGTCTATAATTTGTAAAATGTTAAGTTTCTTTGCACCAGAATTGGTGTTTGCCTATAAACATACAAAGTATAATAAAGTAATCTCTGTAATCTCCTTCTGGCACACTTCCCCCTCCCCCCCAGAAAACAGAATCAAAAGTTATTTTTGATATGAGATAGCCTCTAGGAGTTTGAAAGGGACCTGCTGAAATGTGGGGAAGACTGACTTCTTACATCCAAATGATAAACAGAATGTGCAGCTCTTAAGTTACTTCTAACAGGAAGGGTAGGGAGGAGAGGAGAGAGAATCAGTGAGAGTTTCACTCACATTCACACGTAGCATGGGAAGGCTTTTTCCTCTTTTGTCCTCTGTTAGCCCTCCAAGGAAAACAAAGTGGAATGCTGTAAAAATGCTTACAGCCTCTTAATATTTATAATCTTAATGGTATTTTTTGCTCTCTGCCATAGCAGGGTAACATATTTTATGTATTTGCCCCTCCACTGAGTACAGAGATGTAGGGAAATGCAGTTAAAGAATCGCATTTCCACTTACACAGGAAGGGAAGATGGGTTTCAGGAGGTGCATAAGGATTCATGTGTCACATGCTCAGATTTGCAGATTCCTCCTGAGAGTCCCTGTACTAGTTCCCTTCCCACTGCTGCAATGTAATGCTCTGCTATAGACATGTGGAGAGTTTCTTCCACCATATCCTTCCAAAGAGAACCCAAATAAGAATTCTACTTGCAGATTGCAGCAATTATACAAACCCCAATACATTATAACATCATATAGCTGTGTTAATGGTTAAATCATTTCTCTGTGTGAGTCACTAATGTTCTGTGAGGCAGCCAGTGCTAATTTTAACACCCATCCCAGCTGTAGTGGAAATGGAAGGATTACTTTGCGGGACAGTGATGTCCAATTCTGCTTCACTAAGGTCAGTGGGTAGCATGTGACCGACTTCCATCAGTCACAGAAGCTGTCCTTTGTAAGAGCAAGTCCAAAAAGCATTGAGGACTCATTTCTACACACATACAAAAGCATGCTGCAGGAACTCATGTCCTTCACTTCATCTTGCTTCCTGAAAGAAAAATTAGCTTTTCCCACCAGCTGCCCATTGTTGCAGCTAGGCTTTTATATTGTTCTGATGTTTCTCTTTGCTCAGTCACTTGCTGTGCAGAAAGGTTTCACATTCCTGTCTGATGTGCTTTCTGGCATTTTACTCTGCACAGGCCAAGTAGTAAGACAGGTCCTCATTTAGGCTACTAGTCCATACACACATCACCTCTCCTATATCTTTAAGTCATCATATGCGCAACATTACTTCTATAAACTCTGCATACAGTTCTGAAACTAAACAGCATTAAAGGACAAGAGATTTTTCAAGTTTACCGTGTTTTCATTGGTTGCCGATCCTTCCCTGGATATCAAGAATAAAAGTAAAACACAAAAAAAATCACCTAGAATAGTAGCACAGATTTGAGCATTGCTCCTGATATCACTCACATGAAAATTTCTCTCATGCTGCTACACAGCTAGATTTGTCTTATCACCTACCAGGACTTGTCTTTGTCTTAGAAATGTTACTGACATTTAAGTAGTTCTTTAGAGTACTTCTGCAAAACCTGATCTCTAGGTATATACCAAAAGTATCCCTGAGATGCTCAATTGATGATAACCATAGGTTAAAAGGGCAATCTGATTTGTATTTCATTTTTATCTAGTTTTGAATCTCAAAACATTAACTGTTCCTGAACAATACAATCCATTTCAAGATTTAAAAACAAAATAAAACAAACTTTTACACTACATCAATGTTTCTTTAAAGAAATATAAATGTTTTTGTTTTTACAGCATGCCTTTCCTCATACTTAGTATATTATCTCTTTGTCTTCAATTCCTGTTGCCCCTGGGGGAAATATGGCAAGTGCCATATATTAACAAATTTCTCTTATTTCACATTGTCTTGTACTGCTTGTCTTTTTGCATCTGAAACACAAAAATGCAAACAACACCTATGTTAAACACAATCCTTCCATATCTTCCTTCTCATTCTGAAGTCCCACCTTACCTGTGCTTCATAGTAGGATGACTATATGAAGAAGACTTCAGTGTTTGCCCAAATGCCCAGAGTTTTCCCACAACATCTAATTTCAGAGATAGCTGAGACTCAACAACTGCCCAGCTGCGATGAGGGTGCTCAGCTCAAGTTCCTGTGGGGCAGGACCTCCCCACACTTGGCTGGGCTGTCTTCAGTGTACATGACATGTTCGCAAGGTGGGACTGGACCCTGTCCTTACCCTGCTTCGGGTACTGCAGTTTGACAGCTACTAATAAGAAAAAGGTGAGACTGAACAGCCTGGAAAATGCTGAAAGGTAAGTAAGGCCTCCTCTGATTGGGAAAACTTCAGCATTAAAACAAACAATACATATTTTTCTTCTCGTTCCATCTTTTAGTATAGGAAACAGAACATTCTTGGTCCAAACATGACCAAATCTAGCAAGAGAGGGAGAGGTTAGATCTTCAGCTTTGCTGGTCAGCAAGGGCAACTTGGTGCTCTTTAAAAGCTAAACTTTGACTCCCTCAGCAGCAGTAGAGTATAATATCTCAGCAACACTTGCACCCCCATAAACCTCTATACTTCTTTTCCAGAGGAGGGATTTATCCTCCTGTTCAGCCTATGTTTAACAAGCTCTAAGGACACTCAGTGGTGTCACATCTTGACACGCTATAGTTGCTGTAAAGACATATTGATGAAAATTAGTAAGCTAAAAAATAAATCAATTTATCACAATCACAGCACAAGTTTCCTATGTGACCTGCAGTGGATACTGCAGGTAATAGATACAGACTTTCAGGAGAAAAAGCAAAGAAAGTGTACAGCCAATATAAAATAATAAAATACAATTAAGAATTTTAAAAAGGCAGACTTCTTTCACTGTACTGAAGGGGGAATGAGAGAATTTGCAGCCAGGTCATCACTATCCTGTGATATATCATCACTATATCCTGATACAAAATGCTTTGGATTAGCAAATGCAAGATACCTAATCCTACTTGGTTAGTGGCTTTCTCTCAAGTGGACTTGCATTTTCAGATGGAAATGAATCCAGGATGAACTGCAGATCCAGATGGCTAGTGGCACCCTCAATGTGGGCATGAGCTTCTCAAAAAGAAAATAGAGATTTTACTTCTGCAGAGGAACGCTGTGAGACAGGTACCAAGGCAGACAACAGCTGGCATGCTACATCCTACATTCACCTAACAAACAACTACTTGTAGACCAGACAGGCCAGGAAAGAAAGACTGAACCCTCTGTGAATTGAGGTGTCCTGACCACAGGTAACTCACCACAAATGGCAGGTAACCATACGTACATAGAGCTGGTCCCACAAAGGCATTCTTCAGCTAATTGTGCTTCACCCTCTGTTTTTAATCACCATGCTATTTTTCGTGTTACAGGTGCACTGCATCACTGGATGGCCAAAGCAGCTCTCAAAATACACACCTGTTCTGCCATCTCTACATTTCCCATCCAATAAATTCTGTGCCTGTGTATCATTTGCATTTTAGTGACTGATTCTCTCTAATTATTTGTCCCAGAGCATAAAGCTGCCCTGAAGCCAGCAGAAGCATTAGCACTCGGTAGAAAAAGGGAGTGTACAGCATCAAAGGAGAATCACATGATGTCAAACTACAATACTCTGTGTTTGGATCCAGGGAAGGAAGACCCTGGACTCCGTCTCTATTACCAGTAAGTGCAGAAAGAACAGCTCATGGCAGACCAGCCCATTCCAGTCAGAACAGTCCTCATCCTCTCAACCTTTCTGCCCTCTTCCAAATAGTTTCATAGTCCTTAATAGAGAAAGCTGTACAGTTTTGCTATTTTGCTATTTCTAATCATAAAGCATGATTAGAACTACAGAAAATTTGGCATTAGTCTCTTGAGTGACATAAAATCTATTTTCTCTTTCGATATGGAATGAAAAAAGAAAAAAGAAAAAAGGAAAAAAAGGCAAATCCATAACACTTGCACAGGGGCTTTTTTTCTATCTCCCTCTATACCCATTACGTTACGAATATGTTAAATTTGAGGCTCCACGACTACTTACAGAGCCTGCGTACAAAACCCTACACCACCAGAGGGGGCTCAAAGACAAGTTATTCAGAAACCCGCTGCGTGGGAACTCGGATTTCTGTCGCCCCTGACACAGATCAAGCACTTTCTATGGAAGCTCTTTTCCTTACATTTTACTCGCATGCATAGTAGAAGCAGGATATTGGAACGGCTTTAAGAGGCTTAAAAATATAGGTAAAGAACATAGTTTTTAGGTCATAATTTTCTAAAGGTGAGAGCCCAGAACTGCTCAGTGGTTTTGTTTTGTATGCTCATTAAACGTATAGCACTTTTAAATGCCAAGAGGCATGTTTGTACGTAGCTGAGGGGCCATTTCCTCCTGTACGTTCCCACTTCCAATAAATCTGCCCCGTGGGTAGATTGTTTTTCAGGAGTCTGACTCACACAAAGCTGATTTCACAAAACAAAGGCAGTGTTGGCTGACAGAGGCCACCTTTCCTCCCTCTCACTACTCAAACCAGGGCCTGAGCTTGTATCTGGGCAAGGATTTGTTTGTCACCATGCTGTGCTTCCCACTATTTTCATCTGCTAGATTTTCCCGTTATTTCCATTTT